GGCTTGCACTGAGTCTGATGAAAATCTGCTGTCATTATTGTCTTTGTTCCTCTGAACATACTGTGTCCTTTCTCTCAGGCTTTGTTTAAGAAGTTTTCTTTGTCACTAGTTTTCAACAGTTTAATTAGGATGTGCCTCTGTGTGGTTTCTTTGTTTATACTGCTCGGGGTTGATATCAACTTCTTGGGAGTGTGGGTTTGTATTTTTCATCCAAGTTGAAAACAATTTAGCTGTTATTTCTTCATTATTCTTTTCTATTTTTCCTCCTCTCACCTCTCCTCCTGGAACTGCTTAATCTTGTCCCACGGATCTCTGACGCTCTGTTCATTTCTTTTTCCCACTCCTGTTTCTCTCTGTGCTTCAGTTTGATAGTTGCCATTGCTCTGTTTTCAAGTCTACTAATCTTTTTTTCTGCAGTGTCTATGCTCTATTTATTCCCATCCAACGTATCATTTACTTCAGATATTGTTTTTTTCCATCTCTGGAAGATCCATTTGAGTCTTTCTTATATTTTCCATTTATCTCCTCATCATGCTGTTTTTCTCTGCTTTCTTGAACAGAGGGAGAATATTTATAATAGCTGTTTAAAAGCCTTTGTTTTCCAGTGCTATCATCTCTCACTTCTGGATCAGTTCTGTTGATTTTTTTTCCTCTTGATCATGGATCTTATTTTATTGCTTATTCCCATGCTTGATTGGAAGCTGCATATTGTAGATTTTATGTTGTTGGGTGCTAGATTTATTGCATTGCTTTAAATAGCGTCAGATTTTGTTCTGGTGCATGCTTAAGTTACTGGAGAGCAGTTGGCTTCTTTCCAAGCTTGCTTTTGTTAGGGAGACCCAAAGCCACCTCTAGTCTAGGCTAGTTTCACCCCATGTGAAGGCAGTGATACCTTTCTGAGGGTTGTCTCCAATGACCCTTGTATATAAGGTCTTTCCACTCTGCTGGGGCGCAGGTACTATTCCTAGTTCTTTGTGAGTGTCAGGAATTGTTCTGCCTGCTTGTTTTTAATGGTTCTTTCCTCAGCCTCAGGTGGTTTTCTGTCATACATGTACAGACCGGTACTCAGCCGAAGACGTGTGGGAACCCCCTGCGGAGCTCCAGAGCCCTTTTTCTCTCTGTGAAACTCCCTCCTCTCTGCCCCACAGGTTCTAGCTGCCTTGGCCCCCTGACCTCTGATCTCTGACTCCTCAACTCAGCAGTCCACTGATTCTGTTTGGGTGCCCCCTCCCCGTGCTGCGGCCTGGCAGAAGGCTGGAGCAGTTGCAGGACTCACCTCGTTATTTTCTCCTCTCGGGGGTCACAGTCCTGCTTGCTCTGTTGTGCAAAGTGTGAACACTGTTGTTTCTCATGTTTTGTCTGGTTTTCCAGCTGAGTCTCGGTACCTCTATCTTGGCTGGAAGCAGAAGTCTTTGTATTTTCATCAATCTTCTTTAACTTTTTTTTTTTTTTGGAGGAAGATTGGTCCTGCGCTAACATCAGTTGCCAATCTTCCTCTTTTTCTTTTTTCTCCCCAAAGCCCCAGTACATAGCTGTGTATCATAGTTGTAGAGTTCTAGCTCTTCTATGTGGGACGCTGCCTCAGCATGGCTTGATGAGCGGTGAGTAGGCCCACTCCCAGGATCCAAACCGGTGAACCCCGGGCTATCAAAGCAGAATGCTCGAACTTAACCGCTGTACCACTGGGCCAGCCCCTTCTTTAACTTTTTATCATTAATCCAGTTCAACAATTTATCCAAAAAAAATAGTCAAAGTAGTTTTTGATGAAAGAAATGAATTCTAGATTTTATATGTTTTTCAGGTTCACTTGACAGACTAACCTTGAAGTTACACACAGTTCTCTATTCCTGCTGCACATGCAGAACATGAGCTCCTACTGCAGGCTGCTCTCTGTGCACCCTTGACAGCACCCAGGCTGCTGTGCAACCAGACAGGCCACTCATCTCACACCACACAGATGTCACAGCAGTGTTAAATTGCTAGAAAAGTTTTGAAGTCATTCTCTCAATTTCTGTACTTACCTTGTGGACAAGTAACAAACCCTAGAGGCAGACACACATCTGCGGAACATACTCTGAGTGGCACTGCCCTAGAGAATCCTGCAAGTGTGTGCACAGAATACAGCCCAAATGACTGTCAGCAGGAGAAGGGACACATAGTGTGGTGTACTGACGCAGTTAAATATTCTATAGCCACACACATAGCGATGGCTGAGTCTTCACGGCATAATGACAGTAAAGTACATGTAGTCCCTTTGTGCACCTATTATGTATCTTGGTTGCCTTCATATGTAGTTCTAATACTGGCAAACTACACTGTGGCAATGCATAGACAGGTGGTAACACTGTAAAGATAATTAAGGAGGGCTCTGTGATGGGCACAGGACACGTGGGAGTATCAGGGCCACTGGAAATGTTCTATTTCTTGACCTGTGGAAATTATGTGGGTGTTCATTTTATAATTATTTGTTTAAATATGCGTTTATCTTTTATATGCTTTTCTGTACGTATATTTCACAATTTAAAAAAATTTAAATCATGGTTTTTCACCAACAGAACTAAAATCAGAAATGGTTAGTAGCAGTTTCCTCTGGGGAGTGAGATGCTACAGGAGAAATAGGAAACATTTTATTAAAATTTTTTTAAAAGCAACTATGTCTCCCACCAAATATTAACTGTTAGCTTTTGTGTGTGTGTGTGAATTGTTTCCACATTTTTTGATTGTTTTGGTTAATAACTATATATATATGGGGCCAGCCCGGTGGCTTAGCAGTTAAGTGCGTGTGCTCCGCTGCTGGCAGCCTGGGTTCAGATCCCGGGCGCACACCGACGCACTGCTTGTCTAGCCATACTGAGGCCACGTCCCACATACAGCAACTAGAAGGATGTGCAATTATGACATACAACTATCTACTGGGGTTTTGGGGAGAAAAAGGGAAAAAAAAAAAAAAGGAGGAGGATTGGCAATAGATGTTAGCTCAGGGCTGATCTTCCTCAAAAAAAAAAAAAAAAAGAACTATATTGTTAGAAATGCAGCTGAAGCCCCTTTTACCCACTATCCTTAGTCCCATTTTCCCCCGTGGCTTTCCAAAAGCAATCACTATCATAAATTTGGAATTATATTTCCAATCTATTTTTTATTTTTATGTATGTTTCCATGAATAACATATAGTATTTTTTGGTGTGTTTTAAGTTTACGTGAATGAATTCATACTTTTAATATCTTGACTTTTCGCACTCAATTTTCCAAAGATGTTTCCATGTTGAAGTATATAGAGAGTTCATCCTTTTTAACTGCTGCATGGTGGTATTCCATCATATAAAATACCAGTTTCCTTAGCCTATTCATGGAAGTTTAAGTTGTTACTAGGTTTGCCCCATTAAGCAATGTGCAGTACACTTTCTTGTACGTGACATCTTTTGCAAATCTGCAAAAGTCTCCCTAAATGCATGCCTAGAGGTGGCACTGTGGGGCCACAGAGTAAATGGATTTTCTGGATTTTGACACATTGCTCTCTAAAGTGGCTGTGCATGCCCACCCACACTTTCCCGACATTTCCTGTTGTCTTTGGTTGCTTTTCATTGTGAACTTTCTACTGGTTGATTTGGTACTAGGTATTACTTTGGCAAAATTTTTTTTTTTTTTTTTTTTGGTGAGGATGAGTCACCCTGAGCTAACATCTGTTGCCAATCTTCCGTTGTTGTTGTTTTTTTTTTTGCTGAGGAAGATTAGCCTGAGCCAACATCTCTGCCATTCTTCATCTATTTTGTATGTGGGTCACCACTTGAGCATGGCTGATGAGTGGTATAGGTACATGCCTGGGATCTGAACCCGGGCCACCAAAGCAGAGTGCACTGAACTTAACCACTGTGCCACGGGGCCAGCCCCAAAATACTTTTAAATAAAATTCTAAAATCAAAACAAAAGACAGCAAAGAAAAAAGATAAATTAAAAGATGAGTTTAATGCAAACCTCAATCCTGTAGTTTTTGTCCAGTTTCATCCTCTGCTCTTTGACTGACTAAAACTAGAAATCAGTGGAAACTATCTGGAAAATTCCTGACTGGGTGTTCAGGGAGCCAACCCAGGCTGAAGTCACTGAAATTGTATGACAAGTGAGGCAGACCCCAAACACAGGCAACCTTAGGCCTGTTTGCCAGCCAACCAGCAAACCAGGAAGTAAACCCCATGTGGTACCCAGAGAGACCTCGTCTCTCAGAATGCTGGGCAGCCTCTGTGTGCCTGGCCTCACCTACTCAGTCCTGGATAGTGCGTGACAATTCACCAAGAGAACCAATGAAGAAATAACTCTTTGCTCACGCATCATTTTGCCAGAATTATGTATTGAAATTGTATGGCCTTCTTGTTCTTTTTTTTCTTTTATCATAAGAACATATAATTACTTAAGTAAGAAATAAAATTTGGGGTTTTTTTTTTTTTTTTTTTATAATTTTATTTTTATTTATTTTTTTTCCCCCAAAGCCCCAGTAGATAGTTGTATGTCATAGATGCACATCCTTCTAGTTGCTATACGTGGGACGCGGCCTCAGCATGGCCGGACAAGCGGCGAGTCAGTGCGCGCCCGGGATCCAAAGCCGGGCCACCAGGAGCGGAGTGCGCGCACTTAACTGCTAAGCCATGGGGCCGACCCTAAAATTTGTTTTAGCATTAAGATTTGGGGGGGGGGGGCAATTATAACTGTAAAAAATTAAGCTGTCTTAAATTCTTTCTGGAAGGAATAGGTATAAATAAGCATATATGTATATATACACACATGTAAGCAAAAATTGTGGGAAAACAAAGGGGTTCAATTATTACCATCAAAGAGGTGTGTGCCCAGCCACGCCGTGTCTGCTCTCCTCCAGGAGCTGGGGTGGGGAGGCCTTCCAGATGACCCATCGGGGGGCCGGAGGGCTGGGCTGCTATCCCTTGCCTGGCAGTGGCTGCCTCATTTGAGCCTCCATGTCCTGGAGACAAGCCTGTGATGTTTTTGTCCGTCAGCCAGTTGCAGAAGGAAGAAGAGAAAGGCAGTGCCGAGATGGAAGAGTTGATGGGCAAGTTGGTGGTCCTGCAAGTGCAGAAGAAGAGCCTGCTGTTGGAGAAGAACAGTCTGTCGGCCAAAAACAAAGCACTGGAAGCCGAACTCCAAAGGGCACAGAAAATAAATAGGTTTTTATATATTTTTTTCTTAACGCTGTTTTTTTTAATAGTTAAGAAAAGACAATTGAAGAATATTCTATTTTATTTTCTTTATCTTTTCTTTTTCTAATATTGCCTATAAAATGGAAAAGGATAATTGAGATTATTGGGTATCAAAATATAAGTACAATAAAAGCTTTTCTGTTGACCAGCATTAACCATCTCAAGACTGTAGTTCACATATGGTTGATAGTCATAATGATGACCCTAAGACTGAGAATTCTGGAAGTTCTTTCCTAACCATTTCCCAAAAGTCTACTTTGGGATTACTAGATTCCTTTTCCAAAAGTATCTTTTAGAACATGAGCCAAAAAATTAATAGAATAATATATAATTAGCCTATTAATTGTATTAAGCATTTTGTGATTCCTATCAACTTGGCTTGGAGTCAATAATTATGCTTTGTTTAAAATTAAATTCAGTTACCTTTTCTTACCTTGAAACTTATAGAAGATTTAGGTTGCTGAAGAATAACATTTAAATGCTAATGTACTTGCTATTTTTATAATACAGTTATTCACTATGTCCTAGCCATTCAGGCTAATGAGTTTTTTATTCCACCATTTGGGGAAACTCTCTAGGAGATCTCAAAAGAAAATTGATGTCCTCAAAAAGCAAGTGGAAAAAGCCATGGAGAATGAAATGTCTGCTCACCAGTACCTGGCAAATCTTGTTGGCCTGGCAGAGAATATAACCCAGGAACGTGACAGTCTCATATATTTGGTAAGTTTCCTCAGTTACTTCAAGTAAACTACAAATTAATATGCAAACATCATTTTAAGAATTTTTTTTTTACAAAATCACCATAAAAAGTTTATCTTTTTAAATTTCAACTGCAAATTTTCAAACTCTCCAAAATTTTATCTTTAACCATTGGGGAAAAACATTTTTGAAAGGCGAATAACCCAAACTTTTAAATAATGGCCAATGATATTTTAGAAGGTAAACTAATAGAATTAGTCCATTTACCTAAGTAGGAACAGTAGTTATCAGGTGTTTATTACACGTGCAGACGTATATTTATTTTCTCTTTGTAAAGCTGTGTTAGTATATCCCTTGTTTGAAGATGAAACATAAGAATCATAGACAGGTTAATAGAGTTCATCTAAGGACATAGTTTAAAGGGCACAGTGATATTTATCCCACCTTGTTTCTAGTAGCACCAGTCCCAAGAAAGGGAACTGAGTAAACTGGTGGTCTTAGAGGATGGAGCACCACCCAGCCAGCCAGAGGGATGCTGTGGACACGATTCTCGGCATCTCCACATGGATTTTAAAAGATGTCTAGAGCAGATTATGTGGTGAAGGGAGAAGATGCTGTGCCAAGCTGTATACGTGGAAAAAATTCTGATAGAATTTACCACAAAATGTAACAGTGAGTTGGATAGCTGTATCTCCAAGAGGTGGAGTTACAGGCAATTTTTTAAACAAATCCTACTTATCTGCATTTTATGATTTTTCCACTTTGAATGCATATTGCTTACGTGCATTTAACCGTGTATGTTTAAGCAGTGTTGCAAATCTCTGGTAGCGTAGGATTAGAAGTAACAGTTTAATGGATGTCATTACGAAAGAGACTAGCAGACCTGCTGAGAGAGTCAGAGACGGGCAAACCTGGAAGTAGCTCAGCCCTTCTCTGGGGCGCGTGAGGTGTGGAGAGCGCCAGGATGCACCACTGGCTTATTGCCATCTGTTAGAAAGATGTAAGGTTCCTCCATGGGAAAATGGACATAGGCTTCTACCCGTTGTTTATATAAGAGGAAGTATAAATAGTACACGGCTCTTGGGGGGAGAAAGGTAGATCTTTACTTATAATAAAAGAAATGCTGGGCCGGCCCCGTGGCTTAGCGGTTAAGTGCGCGCGCTCTGCTGCTGCTGGCGGCCTGGGTTCGGATCCCGGGCGCGCACCGACGCACTGCTTCTCCAGCCATGCTGAGGCCGCATCCCACATACAGCAACTAGAAGGCTGTGCAATTATGACATACAACTGTCTACTGGGGCTTTGGGGGAAAAAAATAAATAAAATTATTAAAAAAAAAAAAGAGTTATTACTGCTTGTTTAAAAAAAAAGAAATGCTAATGAAGCTAGTCTTGAAATACCATTGTGTACTTACATTAATGTGACAAAAAAATTTTTTTAATTATAGTAGTTGCTGGTAGGAGTGTGGTAAGCCTGGTTACACATTACTGGTGATTTCTAAGTCTTTTAAAAGCAATTTGACTTTGACACAGCGTGGTAGGAGCCTTAAAAGCACACAGACTTCCTGACCCAGTAGTCCGCCTCTTGAGAGGTCAACATCCCACCCCAAGTGCTGGACTCTGGCATTTTCCGTAGCAGTGCTGAGCACCTGTCTCTCCTTCTGCTAAGCCTCCTTGGCTTACCCGCTGGAATATCAAGAGGGCAGAGGGAAAGCGTGTTGAAAAAGGGAACGTGCCAAGCAAGCCCATTCATCTAGAAACGTTCATGCGGACCCAGCCACCATGTCTCAGCGCCACTGCAAAGGCGAAGCCGCCTTGTTTGCAGGGCAGGGCATGCGGGTTCTCCCAGGATGCAGGCTGTGTACCTCCAAGGTGGACCAGAGCATCCAGGCTTCCACGATGAAGTCGAGATCCTCCCTGATCCTCAAACGGGGGGACACTCATATTTGTGGGACCAGGAGGGAAATACAAATGGAGGCCACATATTGTGTGTCCAAATGCTTAAAAGTTACAAGTTAAGCCAGCAAACTGTTAATGAAATGAGTTCTCTCCTCCTGCCTTGACCTTTGTTATTATGACCTGAAAGCCAGGCTGGAACCTAGAATCCTCCGACCCTCAGAGTGCGGGGAACAGCTCTCATCCCACCCCAGCTCCACCCACCAGAGGGACCTCTGTGTACATGCAGACACTGCTGTCCCCTTGGCCCAGCAGGCTCCTTGCCCCTGGGAGCCCCAAGGCCAGCTCCTCTAGCCGGGGTCCAGGGATGGTACTGGCTGCTTCTGCCCTGTCCTGGGACTGTGGGCCGTGCACCCCCACTTCACCCCGTCCTCGTCTCTTGAGCCTTGTGAGAGCCCCTTATATCTTAATTTATTGATATTGGCATCTTAATTTCGAGTCCTGCCTTTAGGATGGGTCTTCCATGGGAGCTGTGACAAGTTATTTAGCTCTGTCTTATTTTTCCATTCTGGAAAATCAAACTGTCAATACTAGTCTACTTTAGAAAGAAAGCTCAGGGCCAGCCCTGTGGCGTAGCGGTTAAGTCCGCGCGCTCCGCTGCTGGCGGCCCAGGTTCAGACCCCGGGCGCGCACTAATGCACCGCTTGTCAGGCCATGCTGTGGCCGCATCCCATATAAAGTGGAGGAAGATGGGCCCAGATGTTAGCCCAGGGCCAGTCTTTCTCAGCAAAAAGAGGAGGATTGGCATGGATGTTAGCACAGGGCTGATCTTCCTCACAAAAAAAAAAAAAAAGCTCACCTTTACTTCTGTTTTTTAATTTTAGCGTTTGAAATAGTTAACTTATAGTGCGTACTAGTGCACGTCCCATCTGGATATTGATCTACATCATGCAGCTTCAAATGACATTCCTGTTGGATATACTGCCTGTCACGTTTGGTTTGGAGAATGGCATTGTGCGTTCATATTAAGTTATCTTTCATTTTATAATTATTCAGATAGTCAAGTTAAGAAGTTGTTTGCTTTTTGGCACTTATTCTTGCATACGATTGAAGGGATGGTGTATTCCACAAGAATAGAGAAGTGTGCTGGAAGCCCCGACAACTCACATTCCCCTTGTCTGGGGGGCTCAGATCTTCCATTTGTACCCAGGAGGGTGCCCGGCTCCTGCCCCTCCTCAGCGGTGGGCCCAGTCCTCCCCGCAGCCCTCACACAGGGAGCGGGAACCTGAAGGTGGGGCAGGAGGGGGCGTGGGCCAGCCAGACAAGTGGCAGAGTGGAGATTACTTGTAGTAGTAATACTCTTTGCAGAAGAACTTTGTATTATTTTAATTTTTCTGTAAAACTGAGAGCTCATTGTTTTTCTTTTCACCTTTCTCCTTAGGCTAAGTGTTTAGAAAGTGAGAAGCATGGAGTTCTCAACAAAATCGTAGAAGGCAATATTCGCTTGGGGAGGTTGGAGGAGAAAGTCAAGGTAAGTGGTCCTTCAGCCTCAGAGATTGCATGTTCAGAGGGGAACGAGGCCTACTGGGGCAGATTTCTTTAAGGAAATGGTACGTTTTGCATGTATGTACACTAATCATCCACAGAGGAGAGCAGTAGAGGGTTTTGCTGGCAGAAATAGCACCTCCCCACTCATTAAGTAAACTGCTGTTCATCGGCTCAATGATAGCATGCGTCTGTTTAAAAAAAGGGAGAGATGGAAAAATCTCCAGGCTGTAGCATTAAGTTAACGTCCAGGCTTTATGGTCAAGCCCAGCATTTGTTGCTTCAGTTCGAGGGCAGCATTACGCTGATGGCACCTTCCGGTGTCTCTGCCCAGGAAAGCCATTCTCGCTGTACCTGCTCTCCATCCCGTGGCCACCTCCCTCACCTGGCCTCCGTTCTCCTCCCTGTGGTCTGTGTTCTGACTGCCGACCTCTCAGCCTGCATCCTCAGCCTCACCAGCCAAACCGGTCTCTCGAGGGTGGGGGCAGGGAGAGGACCAGCAGGCTAGAGGCCTGGGTGGAGGGCAGTGAGCCCGTGAGTTTTGAAGGGGAAGGTCTGTGAGCCATGTAGCTCCAAGTGTGGGGAATAGAGCTGGGACCCCTGGGCTCAAGTGCGTGTATGTGTAGGACAATGATTAAAAGGGCCTGAGAAGTGGAGACATAGATTGATGACATTTAACATTGGAAAATTAACAAGCCAAGAAAAGAAAATCGAAACATTGGCTGTGAATAAATACTCGTGGTATGGAGTGAACAGTATATATACATGAGTAAATGTATGTTCAGAGTTTGTCTGTCTGCTTTGTTTTAGGAAACATAAGGTTTAGTCTTAAATTATTTATTTTTTAGAAGTTAAACAAAATTTAGGGGCGGGCCCGGTGGTGTAGTGGTTAAGTTCGCATGCTCCGCTTTGGCAGCCCTGGGTTCGCAGGTTTGAATCCTGGGCGCGGACCGACGTGCCACTCATGAAGCCATGCTGTGGCGGCATCCCACATACAAAATAGAGGAAGATGGGCACAGATGTTAGCTCAGGGACAATCTTCCTCAGCAAAAAGAGGAAGATTGGCAATAGATGTTAGCTCAGGGCCAATCTTCCTCACCAAAAAAAAAAAAAAAAAGTTAAAATTTAACTTAAAATTGCTCAGACCCAAATATGTTTCCCAATGCAAAGAATAGATTTTATTTTCCTGTGTTTCATAAATATTGCTTAAATAACACAAATATTAAATTTTTGGCAGTCACATTGCCTTGTAGGTCTTGATTTTCAGGTGGCACAGACAGATGCTGCCTGAGTGGCTTTCTGGTTTCCAGTAGGGTCTGCCACAGGCAGCATCCTTGAGCTGCCCTGATCTGGATTCTCGGCCTCCCCCAAGGAACATCACTTCTCTCTAACTGAGTTCAGGGAAGACCAGTGTACCCTCCAGGGCCTCGTTGTTCCCGGATATAATGGACACAGGGCCGTTTGTGGTCAGGGACCTCCCCACCACCCATCCAGGGCACTCCTTCCTGCTGTGGACCAGAGCAGCTCCACTCTCACTCTCAAATGTGGGCTTTTAGCCATGATGCTATTTGGAGAAAGGGCTCCTTTGCTAAAAGGAAAGTTGAAAATGCCTGCACTAGTCCCGCACTCAGAACTCTGGGGAATTTGTCCTGTGGCTTCCAGTGGTAGATATGATTTAATTTAACCATCTAGGCTGTGGAGTTGTGTTGAATTCTAAAATGTCATCAGAGATTCCTAGCAGGTTATCTTATTTTTCTAGGAATTTGATTTGTGTGATAAAAATGCTATATCACAGAATATTCACTGACACAGTTTTAAAGTAAATAAGGATATGGTAAATTTAATCTTAAAGTACACTTAGTTGTCATAATCTGAACACCAAGCAGAAAAATAAAAAGAAATCCACACCTAGACTCATTGTAGTGAAACTGCAGAACACCAAAGGCAAAGAGAAAATCTTAAAAGTGGCCAGAGGGTGAAAATGTGTTCTTACCCATTTTATACCTACAAGGTCAAAAGTTAAGAAGTTTGACAATACAGGGTGTTTGGCAATGACATGAAGCAGTGGGAGCCTTTCTAGCTTGCTGCTGAGGCTGGAAATTGGTACAAACTTTTAGTAAGGTAGAACATTCACATACTTCACAACCCAGCCATTCCTCCCTTGGATATGTGGTCTTCCAGATGAGGACACTCTTACACATGAGCACCAGAAATCACGTAAAGAAATGATCATGTTGGCCTTGTTCCTAATTGTCCCAGATGAAACAACCCAATACCACCAACAGTGGGACAGATAAATAAATGGTGATGCATTCATAGAAGAATATCTAATAGCAATGAAAATGAACAGATTATATTTACAATAATGTTGGTGAATCTCACAAGCATAATATTGAGTGAAAGAAGCTCAACACAATGAGTACCTCTAATATGATTGCATTTATATAAGGTTTAAAACAGCAAAATTAAATTGTTTGGTGCATACATAGATTGTAATACTAAAAAAGGAAAGTGGAGAAAAGATTATAGCAAAAATAAGATTAATGATTATATCTAAGGGATTGGAACACTTGGGGACTTCCTGGATACTGATAATGTTCTGTCTGTTAACTTAGATGATAGTTACATGATGTTTGCTTTGTTATTATTAATTAAATTATGCATGTATGTTTTATATGCTTCCCCCAAAATCCACGTCACCCTATCAGTGAGGCATATCTTGACTATTTAAAATTGCTATTCATCCATTCTTGCACACCCCTGATTCTCATTGCCTTGCTTGATTGTTTCCTCCATAGACAACATCAACTTCTAACAGACTATGTAATTGATTCATTGTGTTTATTGGTTATTGTCTGTCCCCTGACTCTAAGCTCCACAGGGCAGGGACTTTTTCTGTTTTCATTCACTTGTGTATTCCAAGCATCTAGAATAGCACCTGGTACATAATATTCAATAACTATTTGGGGAATTAATTAAATAATATATTTTACAATTTTAAAAATTCAGCAAAATCAAAAGCAGTGTACAAAACAATACCTCAATTCTGCCTCAGAAAGGCTAGAAGGAATACGCCGTACTATTAATGATGGGAATCTGCATAGACATATTACAAGTAATAATGAGCAATTATGGGTTTTTGGGTTTTTTCTGGTTTTCCTATTGGCTTTTACTTCTAAAAGAGAAGGTCTGATCTTCAGAGTGGTTGGCCTTGTCTTGGGAATCCATCTGCTCATCTGAATAGGAATATAAAAAGGGCCCCCCAGCCACCTAGAGAGGAAACCTGTGATTTGGATCCTGGTTAGATGGGGCAGAATCTCTGGTGAAGTGAAGAGAAGAGACCTGGAAAAGGCTTGAGAAAATCCAGAGGTGATATCTCAGGAAACTCCAGCAAAATATGCCTTGTAAAAGTGAAGACATCACCTTGGAAGTTAGGGCTGTGAGCCGCAGGCAGCATCCTTTCTGAACCAGGCTGGATTCAGAGAACCAGAGGAGGGGCTACAGGAGAGGTGGTGTGTAAACCTTGGAAGGCTACGCTGACCCAGCCAACTATTGCTCCCTGCCGGGAACCTCATCTCATCCTGAAGGATGAGTGGCCTCCATACAAAAATACTTTAAGAAAAGGAAGAAAAATAGAAGTATACCTTCCTACACATGATGAAAATGCACCAAAACAATGTTGCCACAAAGGAGATCAAAATTGTAACCTATATTCCAAAGTGAATTGATAGGCAGGTAGGTAGGTAGATAGGTAAGTAGGTAGCGAAAACTTAATAAAGCAGTCAAAGCGAGGAAGAAATACCACAGAGCAGAAACACAGGAACCCAAGAAGAGATGGCCAGACAAAGGAGGATGTGAAATGGAACTGATGCAACACAGAAAAGAAATAGAAGGGAAAAAGCCATTTCAAAAATGTGGACTAAATTATAAGGAGCACAAAGATATCATAAAAGCACAATAAGAGACATAAAGGATAGAAATGAGAAAAGCAAAGACGAGAAAGCAGAGATAAAGATGTAAAAAGAGTTTAGTAGAAAGTGATGGAGATCCAGTAGACCTCTTGCTAGAGTCTCCAAAGAAGAAAACAAAACAGTGGAACTTATTCTGCTCCAAACCATAATTCATAAAAACTTTTCTGAAACAAAAGACTTGAATCTACATATTGAAAAGGCGTATTATGTACCTAGGAAAAATGGACCCAGAATGGACCCAGAAAATTGACACTGAGACCTGTGACTTTAAGATGAAAAAAAAGAATACTTTGAACACCCAGACAAAAGACCAAAACATAAGGAAAAGAAAACCATGTTGGCATCGCACTTTTCAACAGCAACACTGAATGCAGGAGAACGGTGGAATGCCATCAGTAAATATTCAAGGAAAGAGAACATGAGCCAAGGATGTTTCCATCCAACCAAGCTGCTCTTCAGACAGCTGTGACCATGTAAGAACTTTGTCCTGAGGGTCCATCAGCCTGAGTTCAGCCAACCGAGAAATGATGGGGCACACTTTGGAAAAGTGCTGTTAGTGAACAAAGAGTATATTTAACTGTGAACTAAGACTTAAGCAAAGCAGGGATAAGGCTGATAGAATAGAATATAAATGTTTTCTGACAATGTAGAAATAATACAACCAAGGAAAAAGTATTTACATCTGCCAAGATAGAATTCAGGCCAAAAGCTCTAAATGAGACAAAAAAAGAAAAAAAAGGAGGGTCCTTCATAATGCTAAAGACTACAATTAATAATATGTAGTAGTTATGAATATCTATGTACTAAACAACACAGCAGCAAATTTATCAAGTATATACTATAGGAGATAAAAAAGGGAAATGGAAACTTAGTAATAAAAGGAGTTTTAATCCACTTGTCTTGGTCCAAGACAGATCGAGAGATTAAAGAAAAGTAACTAGGGATATAGAAGATTTAATGACATAATCCCTAAGGTTTATTTATGTGTTTATATATACACAGAACAGTCACAAAAATTTTATCATAGATTGGCTACAAAAAAAACCTCAATAAACCCCTAAAAGTAGAAATAAGGCAGATATTTGTTGATCAAAAAGATGAAAACCAGAAATTAATAAACAAAATCGGAAAGCAAAGAATGTTCTTTCACCTGGAAATATAAAAACTGTAGTAAACCAATTCTTGAGTCAGAGGGGATGTATAAATTGAATGTCCTAATTTCTAAAGAAAATTGAATCTAAGTAAGCTACAAGTCAGGGTCTTTGTGACAGTAGTTTTAGAAATGCTCAGAGGGAAATTCATGACCTTAAATTCTACACAATAAAAATCTGAGGAGGAAAATCAGTGAATCAGGCTTTCATCTCCATCATCTGTTATCAGTAGAGTATGACGGGACCAGCCCAGTGGCGTAGCAGTTAAGTTCTCACGCTCCTCTTCAGCGGCCCCGGGGTTCGGAGGTTCGGATCCCAGGCGCAGACCAACACACTGCTTGTCAAGCCATGCTGTGGCAGCGTCCCACATAACGTAGAAGAAGACGGCCACAGATGTTAGCTCAGGGCTAATCTTCACACACACAAAAAATAGAGTATGATGAACCTTGCCAGGTCCTTCTGTTTTAATTTTATTTGTAGTGTGTAAAAAACTAGGCTTGATACAAATTAGAAATTTGGTTTTATTATACTTGAAATTCTTTTATTACTTTATGTGACTTTTATGATCCAGACTTGCCCCTCCCAGATCACACCTAGCCAGGGCTTACTCGACTCAGTGGGCGCTGACAGCCCCAGAAGGCGGGTAGGGAGTGCATCCGGGAGGCCATTGCCCTGGGCCACAGGCAGCGTGCCCCCACTCACAGAGGCCCACCTCCTCCCCCAGGGGTACAAGAAGCAGGCAGCCCTGAAGCTGGGCAACATCAGTCACCACCTGACAGAGCAGCAGGAGGACTTTGCTAGCAAGACAGCTCAGTACCAACAGGAGCTACGGCACCTCCACCGGATGCTGCGGGACACGCAGGACGTCCTGGACCAGGCACTGCAGCAGAAGAGGTAGGGCCGCCCCAGCCCCCAGGCATAGCTGTGTGTTTTGAATGTTTGGTAGAATTTTCCGGTAAAACCCTCTGGACCTGTTTTGTTTATTTGATTGGTTATTTTTGTTTTTCCTTTATAGTTTTATGTGAATTTAATATTGGCCTTGATTTTTATTTGCTCCTCATTTTCTTTTTAAATTGTTTCCCCGGCAATTGTGTAAGTTTGAGATGTGATGACACACATGCAGTGTGATGATTTGATACACATATATGTTGCTAATGATCACCACAGTAAGGTTAGTTAACACATCCTTCACCTCACATGGTTCATATTTTGTTGTTGTTGTTATGGTGAGAACATTTATAATCTACTCTCAGCAACTTGCAAGTATACAGGACAGGACTGTTAACTACAGTCACCATGCTCTACAGGAGATCCCAGCTCCTCATTGTCTTTCATCCCTCCTCTAAAAATCCCTGTTGTTTGAATATCTGACTTCCTAAATCAGTCCAGGCCTCTAATTGTCCTTCCCTTTTTTCTCCTCTTTTCCATCTTTTTGATGTTTTTTATTCCATTTTCTTGGGAGATTTTATAAATTTTTGGTTAAATGGTTTATTTCTGCTATTATTTTTTTTTCTTTTCTGGGAACTTTAAAATCTCTGATCGTTCCCTTTTACGATCATAATCAGACATTTGAACCCAGAGCAGATGGATGGCTGGATGGATGAGTGGGCTTCGCATATCATTTAAATGGATGGTTCGAGCTTTCTCTGGATACTTAGCTACAGATCAACTCTTGCTTTTGTGGGATAGAATCCTAGGATACAACTCTCTGGAAATTCTTGCTGTCCTGGCAGCTGCTGTGTTTGCTTTCCGAGCAGTGAACCTGATGGTGGTGACATCACTGGCTGCAGCTGAAGCAGTTCTTGCTGCCCTTTCTACGTTAAAAGTATGCCTCTTCTTCAGATTTTTCTATTTGCTGCCGTCACCTGATCTTCTTCAAGGTCATTGACAACACACCTAGTTTTTTCATTAGAAACTAATCATGAACTATGCAAACTCTGCATAAAACCAAAATTAAACTTTGCATATAAGCCAATAAAGATCATGTTCCTTCCTCAGTTAAAAAAAAATTAACTTAAAAAATAAGATCATGGGCCGGCCCCGTGGCTTAGCGGTTAAGTGCTCGCGCTCCGCTGCTGGCGGCCCGGGTTCAGATCCTGGGCGCGCGCCGACGCACCGCTTCTCCGGCCATGCTGAGGCCGCGTCCCACATACAGCGAGTAGAAGGATGTGCAACTATGACACACAACTATCTACTGGGGCTTTGGGGGAAAAAATAAATAAATAAAAAATTTTAAAAAAATAAGATCATAATCATAAGATTATGGGTGCATTATGTTCTCTGTGGATGTAAGGTTCTATATCAGTTACACCTTTATCCTTTAAACATATGGTAGAGGAAGTATTGCCAGTGTATTGAAAACATTGGGGAATATTGTGTGCTTTGTGCAGGTGAACTTGGTGGTCCCTCACATTGTTTTGATTTCACACTTAAGTCCGCCTTTTCATAATGTCTGTGTTGGCTTTGAATATACATGCATGCAGAAGAATCAAAATGACGCTCAGATGTGATTTTCTTCAAGTTATGGTAGGATCCAGGTATTTGATGCCATGCAAAATACAGATATATATTTATGTTTTCTATCAGCCCAAGACCTCTTAATGCCAGGCAAAACGGAGTCTTATCTAATAACATGGTTTCTGTAGTCGTAGAAGTTCTTGCCACCATAAGTGGTCACTTTGTAAAAAGTTGGGCGAATACCAAGTTACTTGCTAGACAGGAGGTTTAGAATTGCATTAATAAAATGGAGTTTTGTTTTTCACTCTCTTTTTTATTTCATTTTTTGCCCTTTAATGGTTTGAAAGTTATACATTCTAGTTCTGTTCTTTTAGTGGTTACCCTTGAAATTTCACCACGGATACTTAAAAAAACAAATCAAGTTTAACCTGCATGTCACTTTCTTCCCCCAAATGCAGGATCTAATGCTCTAATCTAATTATTTCCCACTCAGTTTATATGCTGTTGTTGTCTAATGTCATTACATGTAGATGTAGATATATGAAAGTAAAAACCAAAGATCTATTTTATATCGTTTTTAGCCCCAGAAATTAAATGTTACTAGTTTTTATATAGTTGTTTACTTTGATTTACCCACAGTTTACCAATTTCTTTGCTTACTATCCTTTCTTGCATCTCAGACCTTATTTCTCAGATTATTTTCCTTCTTCCTAAAGTACATCCTTCAGAAGTTTCTTCAGTGAGAGTCTGTTGGGAGTAAACTTTCATAGTTTTTACTTATCTGAAAATGTCTGCGTTTTGTGCTCATCCTTGTAAGATACTATTTGCCGGGTACAGAATTCTACCTTGATGGCTTTTTCTCTCAGGGCGTTCCACTGTCTTCTCTGTTTCATTGTTGCTGTTGAGAAGTCTTTTGTAATTTTTAAAATAGGTGGTCCATCTTTTCTCTTGTCTCTCTTAAGATCTCTGTGTCTTGTATTCTGCAGTTTCGTTGTTACCTGTTTATGAATTTCTTTTTACTTATCTGCTTGGTATGTTACTCTCTGTATCTGTGATTTTGTGTCTTTCATTAGTTCTAGAAAATTCTCAGCCATTATCTCTTAAAATACATCTTTTCCCCCATTCTTTCTAGATTTCCTTCTGAAACTCAAGTTAAATATATATTAGACCTTCTTATTGAATCTTCCACATACTTTATCTTTTAAATTTTCCATCTCCCTGTTTTTCTGGTCTACGTTCTGGGTAATTTCTTCTGCTCAGTATTCCTGCTTACTAATTCTCTCTTCAGCTGTGTTCGGTGTGCTGTTTAACCAGCCATTGAAGTTTTTATTTCAGCAGCTGTGTATTTCATTTTCAGAAGTTCAGTGTGGTTCTTTTGAAAATCTGCCTAGTCATTTTTTTCTTTTTTGGTGAGGAAGATTGGCCCTGAGCTAACATCCATGCCAATCCTCCTGCACCCCACATATGGGACACCGCCACAGCATGGCTTGACGAGCAGTGTGCAGGCCTGCACCCGGGACCTGAACCCGTGAACCCCAGGCCACCAAAGCGGAGCACACAAACTCAACCACTACACCACTGGGCCAGCCCCTGCCTAGTCATTTTTAAAAATAAATTTTGGTTTTTGCTTATCTTTAATATTTATTTCTTTGAATATGTCATTCTTGGTTATTTTATATTCTATGTAAGACAGTTCCAATATCTGAAGTTTGGGGGACTTATCTGGTTTTGTTGACTCTTGGTATATGTGGCTTATTTCCTTCCGTGTACAGTAATTTTTTACTATGAACTCATACATGGTTGAATTTAATCTGTGGAATCCTGAGGGCCTGGGTTGAGGATGTTTTTCTCTAGAGATGATTTGCATTTGCTTCTCTTTGGTACCAGAGAATATTTCTGTGGCTGGAGCCACTTTAATTTTATTATTAATTTAAAAAACAGGCTACAGTAATGCTTTTTAAAAAAATACAAAAGGACTTAAAAAAATTCACAGTGCCATTATTACATTTATAGTGTATAACTTCTTAATATCGTATATTTTTCTGAACTGCATTCTGGGTGATTTCCTCTGCTCAATATTCTACTTTACTGTTTCTCTCTTCAGCTGTGTCCAGTTAACTTTTAACCCATCCATTGAGCTTTTTCCTGATTGTTTCAAAAATATCTTTTTACTCTTGGTTCACTGCAGTCAGGGCCTGGGGTTGTCCTACACTGGGGAACTGTGTATTCAAACTCCAGAACCAGTTGAGAACAGGCAGTGGCTACAGTCCCTAAAGAGACTATCAGCAGGTTTCTTTTGAAGATCGGCAGGTTTTCTGCCCAACCATCCTTTCCTTGAGGTTCCTTCGCATGCTTCCATTTACCTGCCTAATTCTAGGATACATAGGTCAGAGTGTTTCTAGGAAGAGGAGAAGCATAGATATGAGTGAGCCCTGGGGTTTTCTGTCACACCCAGTTTGCATGGGCACAAGACCTCGTCTCTGTTCTACAAAAATCTGGGTTTCTAGCATGGACTTTGTCCTCAAAGCAATACCAACATTTTGTTTGCCTGCCTCTGTGGTTTCAGTTTATTGTTCGTTTGTTTCTGCCTTTAGAGATTTCCTATTCTTTCTTTTGAGTTCAACCATACTTTATTATGATTGCTATAATTTATCAAACATCAAGGTGTTTTGTTCCAGAAAACAGAAGTTAGGATTTTTTTAGACAGAGTTTAATGAAAGAGTGCCTAACACTCAGTGGCCATCATGGACTTTGGAAGGAAGCAACAGTTCACAAGAAAAGTGATGCTGGATCAGTGGGCATGTCACTGGCCTCTGTGAATCTTAGTCTTCTCTTTTTTAAACAATGGTGCTAAGTCCACCGATAATTCAGTTTCTAACATTTTCCAGAACCATCTGGCAGTGTCTGTGAAGGAGCTGGCCTCCTGCCATCCTGCACAAGGCCCGCTCCTCCTCCCAGGCTGAGGCTTGCTGTTCTCCCCTGCACGCTCCTCCATGGGGCTCCCCACCCCGTGAGGTCATGGATGCCGTTGTCTGCCCTGTTTCCTCAGCGCCCACGGGCTGCCTGGCACAGAGGCCTCGCTCAGCACAAACTGCTTTGCTTCCTTTTCCTTTTCTCACAAGCCTTAGCTCCCTCTGGGCGCTCACCTCCCAGCACGTGGCCTAGGCCAGTCTTCTCTGCGTCCTCAGCTGCGATCCTCACTCCTCTCCTCACCCCCTAACTCACTCTTCATGTCTGCGTCCATTGATGGCTCTGTGGATAGTGCTGTGAAAGGTGCCTCAGTGTTGGCCAGGTCACAGTGGGGACAGGCAGAAGGGATGCAGGAGAGGCCCCCAGGGCCCTGCCATGTAGGTGCCCGTGGCCTGGCCATTGTGGCATATAGGTCAGCCACCTCAGTTGGTGTATTTTATTTGTATACATGTTAATTCTATAGAGGACAAAGGATGTGTGCATTGGTGCCCAAATCAAGGAAAACACCAGCCTTGGAGAGAAGGTCAGAAGTCACGTCAGCCTGTGCCGTGTGTTTTCTCTCTGTCCAGGGGCCCTCAGTGCTTCATTCGGCATTGGCAGGCTCTGCTTGAGAACCCAGGCACGATGGGCTCGATTCTCTGATGTTAAGCATTCTTCCATATGGGCTCTTGGATTCATAAGGGCTCTGTAAATATTTTTTACTTGTGCTATTTTAAATTTTTCCTTTGTTTTGTTTATTTCTCTCAGAGAAATGGAAGGCGAGCTTGAAGTTGTTTGGGAGTCCGCCTCCAAGGAAAACCGAAGAATCCGAGAACTTCTCCAGGCCACACTGGAGAGGGCAGACATGAGGGACAACACCAGAGCTTTCGAGGGCCCCTGCCTCGACAGCGTCCCACAGGGAGACGTGCTGGATGGCTGCAACTTCAGCTACTGTGACATGAAGCCACCTCCCACCACCCACCAGAGCCTGCGGGAGCCCCTGGGCTAGGGCACCTGGGCCAAGAGGTCTGCCTGCCATGGGACAGGGAAGGGCAAACTCCCTCCTACCACCACAGCGCATTTTCTCCTTGGGGCAAGGAAGGCATCAACTGTCCCAGAAATTTAATCTGTTTTTTTATATTTTGCTTTTTTTTTAATAGTGTGCTGCTGAACTATTTTTCAGCCAGTGCACATCCTCTGGCCACATTGCCACTGAGGTGGGCTCTATGAGTCCCAGTGCTCAGGTTAACAGGTAACCGGATGAGCTGGCCTGCCTGGGCTCCTAGATCCGCAGCTGGGAAAGCACAGAGGAAACGGCCGAGCAGGACCGCACTCTCATCCTGGGTGTTAGGTGAATAAGTTTAATTGGACGCGCCGTCGATGGAAGCATCAGCTCTGGGTGGTCTTTTATTGTTTGGTGAAATACACGGTGCTGGGCCTCGTGCACCAGTAAGTTGTACAAAACCCGTTCTGCCCCCTCCCTCAGCCCTTCTCTGTCCTCCTGGGAAGGTCATTTTTCTGGGGCCACATAGCCCCTCCTCCCCTTTCAGAGCCCTGACTTTGAACACCAAGGTGGGGTCCCTGCCCCACTGCCACCACCGAGAAGGGTGCCAGGGTCACGGTTCTGCTCCACGCTGTGCCACCTCCCTAGGAAAATTATCCCAGCCTCTCGGGAACGTTCACTGGGACTTCCTGACGGTAATGCCAGCTGTCTAGGGCTGTTTGTCCCCAGCCAACGTGCTAGAAGAACGTGGGGACATCAGCCTCCAAAGGACCCTGAACAGTGGGATGGAAGTGTAGAATCCTGGGACACATCCTTTTAGGGAACCCGTCAGAGCTGAGGCCTGCGTTGTCAGGTGTGCTCTTAGGCCCAGCACCGGTCCTTGGTCACGTGTAAAAGTTATGCACGTGATCTTGACTAGATGGGAAGTTGAGTAGTTCTTTTACATTTTATTAAACTTGTTCAGCAGTCAAACAATTCAAATTTATTTTCCTTTTACCAGGTGTAGAAAGACTTACCAGGATTTAAAACTACGTATGATCCCCTAGAAGATGACCTAGCAAATAACTCTGATGTTATTTCAAGGGAGTTTGTGCCGACTGTCCAGTAATCGGTAGACAAGCCGAAGGGGGCAGCGGCCTTATGAGTCTCTGGCCTTCCAGACCTGTGCTCAGGGTGGCTTGTCCATGGGAACGCTGCTGTTGTCATGTCGCCTAGAGAACCACTTTTAGTCATCCTTTTCCTGCCTTTTATGAGAACGTTTTATTCCCTCGAGAGTGAACATTTTCACATCTCTGCTTTAAGTTTACTGCACGTTACAGTATACTTTGCAAGTTCAGTGACCCCTGGTCCACGTCACTACCAGGCAGGTGGGAGTCGGGCAGCACTTGGGCTCTGCCGGCCTCCTGCTGGGTGCTGTGGGAAATGGACAGGTGAGCTCAGAGTCCAGGATGTAAAGATGGGCCAGGCAGGCAAAGAAGCAAGAGACAAGGCAGCTGAGAGGTGCAGAGGCCGGCCTCGGGATCCTTCTTGAAGGAACTGCAACGCCCTGGGCCTTGCGGAGTGGACAGGGCTCCAGGAGCTGGAGAAGGGCAGAGAGGGATGTGTGGGCAGAGGCAGGAACTCAGGAGCAGCAGGAGGGGCTCTGGGGCTGGAGGGTGGGGTGGGCAGTGAGGCGAGACCGGTCTAAGGAGAGCATGGACTGCTGGAGGGGCTCCTGTTCCCCTTCATGCTGCAGGTTCCCAGTCTGAGCAGGAACCTGTTCCATGCTTCCTGGTGAGGCTTTATATGGCCCCAGAAACGTCCTGACCAGGTTGAAGTAACCCCAGGCAAAGTTATAAAACATGACCTGGGAACTCAATGAGCCCTGCTGCCCTTGCTTCATTAAAAAGCAGCCCTGGGGCAGTCAGGACCCAGTGGAGAGAGGGGCCAGGGCCCAGGTTGGTGTGGGGTGAGTTTGGTGTGAGAGCGGGGGGACGGCTGTTGACCCCTGCAGGGGGCGGTGGGATCCAAAGTGACTCCTTTGCCCCTCAATCTCCAAGAAGAAAGAGAGAGACCCCACCCTTTTCCAACAGCTTCATTCTATGTAGAGCAGTGGGTCATCCAACTCCAGTGAAAGAGGGGGAAATTCTGAATTTTGTTGATTTCTGTGTAACATTTATTCAGCAGTATACATTGGGTGCTTGTCTATGTGCACTGTTTGTTGAGAACAATAGCAGTGACGAAGGCAGACGTAATTACAGACTGAGCTAGGTGCTCGGAGGAAAACGGACAGCTGGGACAGAACGAGCCTCATTCCAGATCGAGCAGGGTCTTGGTGCAGGGGAACTTTTATGTGTGTTAGAGCACACGGCTATGTGAACCTACCTTTTCCACTACAAATTTTATGAAGTTAGACCAAGTATTTCTGGTAAAATCTAGCACTCAAATTAAGATGTGCTATAAGCATAAAATATGCATCGGATTTTTGAAGACTTAGTATGAAAAGATGTAAAATAGCTCACTAATAATTTTTATATTGGTTATATGTTGAGATGATAACATTTTGTATTTATTGGGTTCAATAAAATGTATTATTAAAATTAATTTCACCTGTTTTGTGTGACCACTAGAAAAATTTAAATTACATATGCAGCTCACATTATATTTCTCTGGGACAGTGCTGCATAGACTGACAAATGAAAAGAAATAGGATACATTGGAGGATATGAGGAAGCCGTGTGGTTTAAAACTAATTTGGCCTGACCTTGTTTTTCCAGAAAGGCCTGACGTGGCCTGTTGAGCATGCATTGTGCATCTGCTTTAAACATTTACAATGTCCCAAAGCCAAGAATGATGTCCTTCAAGAAAGGGATGTAGCTTCCCTCCATATCAGCATTTCTTTAAAGATAAGCGTCTCCTCCTGGGAACTAAGGATTAATTACCGACCTGCTGTGCTCACCTTGTGACCACTGATCTACTGTGCCAGCTAGCATCTCTTGACAGTTGTAAACGGGACAGGCCTGTCATATGTGATGTGTGCTCTTTGTTCCAAGATGGTATATAACCCCTCTGTACACCCCACTTCTCTGGTGCCGTTCCTTCCTTGGGGAGGGAAGGCCCCAGGCTAGTCCTCAGATCTGGCTCATGACAAACTCTCCCCAATTTTGATTTGTAGATTGATTATGGATTATTTGCGTCAACAAGACCTAAATGTGAAAAGCAAAACTAAGCTTCTAGAAGATAATTCATGACTTTGGATCAGGGAAGGATTTCTTAAACAAGATACAGAAAGCACTAACCACAGAGGAAAAGAGTGATACATTTGACTACATCAGTTAAGAGTCTTCTCTTCACCCAAGTGGAAGGACAAGCCACGGCGTGGGGAGCAACGCCGAGAGCTGACAGAGGCCTTTAGCCCAGGAAAGTGTAGAGACCACCCAGGGTGGCTTGGAAGGGTACAGTGAGGAAGGGGAGGGAGCAGGCAGGGGTGTGGCTGTAACAAAGGCCACAGGGGGTACCACACAACACAACAGGCAGTGAACCCCTGCCCTGGAGCCCTGCTCAGGGCAGAGGCAGCCACGTTCCCCTCTTCTAGCTATTTCTTCTGGAATTACCTCCATCATTAGCAGAAAGCTGATCCATTTAGTCACCTCTTCCTGCCATCAAGCCCTAGATTGCACCAGTGACCCCAGCTGCCTGAATTCTGGGAGCAGGCGGGGAGTGGGCTCTGCTGTCAGCCTGGCCTCTCTCAGGCCTTCCATGGAGCCTGGGGGCTCTGGGGCAGATTCTCCGGAGGATAAACCTCCTGTGTCCTGAAGAAAGAGGCCGGGCTGGCTGCCTGTGCGTGACGTGAGGGCAGAGAGCAGACTGCGCCCTAGCCCCTCCCCCTCTTCTGGGGCTGGGCACCTGAGGTTTCCTGCAGGAGCCCCCACCCACGCCTCGGTGCCCACAGCCCGGCCAGGACAGCCGACCCTCTCCATCTCCTGTATGTGCATGGACATTTCTCACTGTGCATAGGGACCTTTTGTTTATTTACCATGGTCAGCGGGGCTCCCAGGGGAGTGGAGAGGAAAGGTACATTCACCCCCGGTCAGCAGGCCATCGGCGGCCCTGAGAGGAGCCAGTCTTCCATGGAGGGAGTCCCATCATCCCATGTGCGTGCTCCCAAGTCAGGGGGATGAACCTCCCCTCCCTCCTGGGTGTGGACATCTGCTGAACGACAGGAAGACGTCTGCAGTGGAGGCCCCGGGGGAGCACACATTTGGCACGAAGGCCGACATGAAGAAACCACTGATGACATGACAAGTGCTAGGGAAGAAAAAGATGAGAAGCTTGTCGTGAGGAGTAAGTGAACTAGTATGCCGATGTGCTAAGAACCACAGAAAATGCTTGTGCAAGGAAGGGCCTTTGCAATTTAAGCAGGAATGTTGTCGGTGAAGGAACTCGTGCAAAGGCCCTGAGGTGAGGAGGGGGAGGCGTCGTCTGAGGGAAGGGAGGGCAGATCCCGCCTTGCAGGCCTCGTGGCTCTCTGGCTCGTCCCCTGCCTCAGCCAGCATCCGTGACTGCTCAGCGCCAGGCCTGGGATGCCCCCGACAGAGGCAGGGTTTTCAAAGAGTGGAAGTGGGCAGAAGAGGGCAGGAGCTGACGCAGGCAGAGAAATGGGTGGATGCCAGAGGATCCTGCTCCCACCAGGATCCAGGGCTTGTGAGCTGTCTGGGATGGACCCACCTGTTCCCCTCAGACTGGGTGACTGTCACCTCCCTGACTCCTCAAGCAGCTGGGCTCAGCGGGTGGGGTTACCTCCATCCAGGAGGACGCTCGCACGCTCCTAGATGCCCCTACACCTGAAGTCCAGGTCACTCTGGGCAACCTCGCTGACTCTACACGGGCTTTCCCATCAGCAGTAAAGACCCTCAGGCGTCCCCCATCTGAACGAGAAACTTCTGGACCCCACATTCTCCCCCTCTCCCCGGAGCGCCCAGCCCTTGGTGCTCTGCTCTGCGCCAGCCTGGCTGCTGCCCCACCATCTGCTGAAGCTCCCACTCTGGTG